ATATGCTAACTTCTTTATTACCATATTTGATATATCAAGTCTTCTCAAGAAAGTAATTCAATGAAAATTACTGCCAGTTTACAACTTCTATTCGTTCATACTGTCATGTAATTTTAGGCATAAGATTTCAAAACTAAATGTTTTACTTTATTAACTACAATTCAACCTTTGTTGATCAGTAAAATTAATAATCCCTCAATATTTCATTTTGCTATGTTTAGTGCTACTGCTATCTGTTCTAAACCATCCATATGTCTGTTTAAAAAAAAAAAAAATACATCAACCCTCATCAAACTTCTGTTTTATATTTACATGTAAAATGTTGATACTCAGTAAATAAAAAAATTAAAATGTCTTCCTAAATTGAGTAAGTTCAATGTCTGCATATAAATATACAAATGTAATTCAAAAAAACATTCATATATACTCAAAAATTCCCAATACATTAGCAACATATTTCAATTTCATAATCAATCCACCACTGGAGAGAGAGCAGAACTATTAAATGTAAACATTACTTTTATGTACAATTTCACCTCTATACAATATTTATAACAAATATTTCATAGTCCATTACTTTTGATAAAAATAGAAATAATAAAACTAAGGCTGTAGTTTAGAAATACTTCTAGAATATTTACCAGTAAATTATAAACAGAAAGCACAGAAAATTTTAGTGTTCAGGTGAAATACAACAATTTAGACAGTAGAGTCTTAATTACAGGGTGTAGATTTTTTTATTTTTTTATTAACGAATAATTTTTTATATAAAGGAATGAAACTTGAAGTATAATTAAAGATAAAATACTAACATAAAAGTCAAACATTTTGTTAACTTTTGAAATTGATCAAATTCATATTTGTACTAAATTCAATTCCAACTATGAACACAAATACACACCTTATCCAGAGCAATTCTATTGGAGTATTTATTCTTCAAGCAATTATTATTATTATTATTTTCAATCTAGGCTGCACTTTTCTTAAATACCAAAAGTCAGATTTCGGTTTATTTCCAAAGTTTAAAATATTAATAAAGCTAAACTTAACTCTAAAATCTACACAGTACTTAAGGTACATACAATTTCAAATATTGTTTTATTGTTACATGCAAAATTTATTTTTGTTTTTAAATACATAATAAAGCACAAGCACTTTTAATATTGATTTTAATTTTTGATATATTAAATTTCAATGTAAAGTTTCCAAAAACTTTTATGTGCATATCATCAATTTGTCTGTTGAAAAACAAAACAGAAACTAACTAAATCTCTGTATTACAAACACTTTATACAAAATGGTGTGAAATGTTAAGGCATATTTTGAACACACACACACACACGTACATACATTTCTAACCATAGAAAAAAATTAATCAAACATTACCACAGACAAATAACACAGTTTCAGTAACCTTATGAATCATTCTGAATGATCTCTATGCCTTAATATATTATTTACACTTCTGTCCATAGCTTGAAAATGTGCTGTTTGTGGCAAACTGATTGTATTAGGTTAAGTCCTGAAGAGAGAATTTCAATATATATAAAAAAATATATTGGAATAACAAATGGTACCTTGTAAACCTTTTAAGTAGCAGTTGTTTAGCACTGAATAAAAATACAATACAAAAAAAAAACATTTATTGGTGTTGGAAGTTTCAAGAGATTCTGAATGTGTTTTTTTACTGTGAACAATCTTTTTAGAAATCTCTTTTTTAAAATTATTATAATTACATGATTTTCCAAAATTCCTTGAAATCTTAGAAATAAAAATAATATATAATGTTGAAATTCTATTTTTTTAACATACAAGTTACTTCTGCCATGTTATAAGATCAGATTTTCAAAGGACCTTATTGTATGTCTGAAGAATGGATGTTAAAATCAAATTTTTTCTAATCAGAATTTATTAGCCTTATTCAATTTTTCAAACAATACTGCACATTTACCAACAAAGTAAATGTACCTTGTTTAATTATATGCAATGATTTAAAGAAAAATAACAACATCCAAGAACACATTTTTACCACTCTAGTGGGTATGAGCTGTCCAAAAAAAACTGTGTAAAATGTACACTTTTATTAAAATTCAAAATAAACATACCTTTGATTAAATTTGATGACGAGGAACCCACTTTGAGACTAATAATGGCTGGAGACGGCTTAAATGGGTAATGAAGAAAAACTTTAATATAAGTTTAACATGACAGCAAATGTACAACGTTTCGACAAGGTTATGTCAGCAACAGGGACCTGATGATGACAAAACCTTGTTGAAAAGTTGGTCATTTGCTGTCATGTTAAACTTA